TCTACAGGAAAGTAAAGCTCAGATAGAAAAAGGAATAAATGCCAGGATGGCTTTCCTAGCAGAGGGCACTGAGGATGCAGGGCAGCACAGACAGGAACAGGGATCCGCAGAGGGGACAGCTATACAGAAGGAAGTGAGGGCGGCAGGCAAAATGCACCGCAGGCAGCCACCAGTTACTATAATGATGATCACAGATACAGAGATTTCCTGAGGATATTAACTACCAATCAACCTCATGGAGGTTTGTGGTGCTTTTGAGGGTGGAAATATAAAATAGCACAATATGAAAAGTAAAAGCATTAAAATTCTTTAATAATAATTCTTATAATAGTCATTTTCCACTTCTGATAATAAATATTTTACCCACCATTTAAACTTCTAGGAACCTAGGGAGCCAATCTAAGAATCAGAAACTCAGAATTATCAGTGCAGTTGACAGACTGAAAAACAATGAATTCCTCTGACCTATTTCAAACTGAACTACACATATCTTTTTAACATTATTCTGTTATAAAACTTATACTTTATTCCTTGACTTCTTTCTTCCCCCTCATACATTAAACTCAGACCACTGAGGATGATATTCACCACGCCCTGAGCATCCCAGAGACAAAGCACCTGCAGGATGCCCAGCCTGAGGAAGACAGAACCTCCACTCCAGAAGAACCACATCCCTGCTCCCTTATAGCCACTGCGCTGGCTAGGCTGGCTCCCATCAATACTGTAAGGCAGAGAGACACCTTGGGTAAAACTGTTACTAAAAACCCCAAGCCGCGGTGTTAAATGGTAGATTTTGTCACAAAATCTTGATTAAAAATAACGTCCTGGCTACTGCCTCTGACCATGGCCTGACCCTAGGCAGTCACTGTCTTGTGGATCTCTTTCAACTTTTAGTTGTGAAATTGGCCGCCTGACTTTGCACCTATCTATCCCACTCTATACTGCAACTCAGTTCTATATCTAAAACTTCCTTTCACCTCAGGGTCCAGCCCTGGTGAGAAGTCTCTGCCTACTGTCCTGCCCCTGCCATCTATCCTCAACCTCAGCGAAAATCCTACCAGAATGACTGAATCTCAACTATGATCCAAGTATGAGAGAGCTAGTTGTAGTCAAGAGAGTATACCTAGAATAGGTTTGAATTTATTCTAACATAATAAATCCTTTTATTCGTACCATTTCCAACAAAATACAAGGCTTAAAAAAAATTTTTTTCAACTCTTTCTTTGTTGATAGTTCAAATAATATTCAATACAAGTTAGTTCCAACATAGCAAGAGAAAAATAAACTCTAGAGTTTGTTTTAATAGAAATTTATCTGTATTTGCAAAAGTTTAATTTACATATATATTTCATAGATGAAGAGGCATTTTAAAAATAGATTACTTAGCAAATTAGCCATGTGCCAAAATTATAAAATATTTATTTAATCTAAGAAAATAAACCTGCAGACAAGTAAACTTGCAGACAAGTAAAAAAACAAGTCAATACTATTGCAAAAATAATGGTGAATCATACATACTTTTAAAAAATAGGTACTGAAGAGAATCACCATTCTTAGCTCCAGTGAAATGATTATAACATCTGAATGAATTTTTCCCAAAAATATTGCATATACTTCAGATTGGCTTTTTCCTAGCCTACTTAGTGAAGTTTAACTATAATCCAACGTGTAACTAAAATATCTCCCCGGGGTCGGCCCGGTGGTGCGAGAGGTTAAGTGCGCGCACTCCGCTGTGGCGGCACACGGTTCACCGGTTCAGATCCTGGGCGCGCACTGACGCACTGCTTGGCAAGCCACACTGTGGCGGCGTCCCATATAAAGTGGAGGAAGATGGGCATGGATGTTAGCCCAGGGCCAGTCTTCCTCAGCAGAAAAAGAGGAGGATTGGCAGATGTTAGCACAGGGCTGGTCTCCTCACAAAGAAAAAATATATATATCTCCCCAGTGCTTTTCCATCACAGGACCTTGGTTACCTGCTACGATTTCTTCAGTTAAACCTGACTAATGGAGGTCAGCCTAGCCAACACTACCAGAGATGAGATTTGACTTCCATGAACACATCTCATTCATTTCTGATCCTTACCCAAATGGCACAGAACTTGGAATGGAGTGGACACACTATAAATGTTTGTTGAACAACAAATAAATTAGAAAAAGAAAGATAGAAAGGCATTCCAACATGTAACACTGTATTAGATTCATTATATTAGTATATATTCTATCATTCTATTAGTAGGAAAATTAGCAGGAAGAAAAAAGGACCATACAATGCATTTTCAATGCATCATTCCTTAGAGTAAACAAAACCCGCAAGGAAGATTCACAAAGAACATCCAAAAGAAGTTAATCTCCCAAGTTATGCCCCCACCGAAAGCATGAGGACAAGCTTGTCTCAGCACTTCTCAGCAAGGTCATGCTGCTGTACTGCAGGATGGTAAGGAAGAGAAGGAAGATGGTTTACTAGTCATTCTCCAAGAGGATTATTCTGGTATAAGAGCTGACGGCCTAGGCAGTACAGCATAAGGAGAAGGTGAAAAGGGGCAGACAGAAATAATTCACTTTATATTGTGAATGAATCACTTTCATGGGGCCATGCTAATAAGTCAAACAGACATTGTAACAATAAATCAGGCAATCATGATGCAAGAGAAGCTACATCCAGAATTATGGATAAAAACTTACCACCTAGAAGGAAAATTTGTTTTTAAAATGAATCCAGAGAAGGAAGATAAGAAAAACACATTTTCGTATGGTTAGTTCTTATGATAGCTACTATATATTCAACAGACCTGTAACAGCATGCATTGTAAATAAGGATAAAAAAACTTAATATACAAAACCTAAACAACAGATAATCCTAAGTACGTGGCACACATTTTTAAAAACAAAGCTGAGAACTAATAATCACTAAAAACATGATTTTTAAGATGATATAGAGAGATTTACTTGTATTTATAATTTTCTCCCTCTTATACGTAATTCTGCCACTATAGCCAATTGTTAAACATGTACAATTGGCATAACTCAAGATAATATTAAACTGTTCATTTATATAAACTGTTTCTTATATTCTAGTTGCCAAAAAGAAGTGTGATGCTTCATTTAATCTCCTTTCAATTCTTCAAAAATGGTCGAAGACAGAGCAAGAGCAAATCTGAGGTCTGTGATTCTGAACCTGCAGCACAGACACTGGGGCACCCAGGGCTTACCTGGACATCAGGCATGCTCAGTTATCTGAATAAATAATAAAACTCACACTTTTATTTACTGCTATGTTTCAAATTATTGTGATCAATAAGATACATGTTTATTTGAAAGTATTATTAAAGCAGTATCAGCTTTTTAAAAAAGCCATCTAGCTTTAAATGGAAACAAATCCCCCAAAATCCCACCACTTCCACAGAAGTTCTATGAGATCCTCAACCTTTAAATAAGAACTGAACTGTTACTGGATTCTGTTTTTCATCATTACACTTTTTCTCAGTCAACAGATGCTAAACACACAACTATCTTATGTGGATGGGACCTCAAAATATCTGATGCAAAGACGATTCCTCATGCTGGGTATCATTGGCCTAGATCAGTGTTATTTGCGGACAAGTGTAATCAAAATTGTCTCCTTTAGCTGAAAGTCAAGATGAGAAATTGAGTGGGAAGAAGAGAAGGGGACAAAGTTGCTACTGGTATCACAAGATGGGCAGAGAAGAAAGCAGTGGAAACTTGCTTCTCTGGTAAAAGGAAAACTGAGGTTAGGACAGTCCACTGATTGGTCACCCCCACAAAAAGCTGGATGAATACTAGATTCTGATATTCATTTCAAGGCTCACACCATGGGAATCCCAGTACGTTCATTTCCACAGATGTATTATGGCCCTGTTACCCAAGAACGTCCTCTGAAAGTATCTACATTTTTTGTCTAGATAATCTCTGGACACATGTTACATACGTCTACAAGTCACTAAGGTATTCTGAATTCACCTCTTGCAAACTGCAAAAAAAACTTCCTAGTTGAGTATTGTGAGATTTGTGAAGACGGGCATTAAAACTATGATTCTATCACTATTATCTCCTCTTCACTTTTCTGACAGTAGAACCCTTATTTCCCTTTAGTTCATCTTTTAATGGCCCCGCACAGCTCCATTTTGCCTTTCTTAAAGAGGAGCACCATAGTTTTGAAAAAGGGAATTATGTGGCCTTTTGGAATATGTGAACAAATTTGGACTGATATCTAACTTTCAGTTCTTTTAATGTGATTTTTTAAATTGTAAGATATATCATATAGTAAATCAAGGGATGATCAAGACTCTTCAAAATAAAGGGACCTGGGACTATGAAATAATTTTTGTGTTAAGTAAGTATCTACTGATCTACATATAACTAAAACATTCTTATTTTCTCTAATACGAACCGTTTAAGTAAATGCTAAAATTACATGTATCTGAAAGGTGAAAGTTCGTATAAAATTATAAATTTAAGAAGTTCATCCTATATTTTAAACAGAAGGTGAGACGGTAATTAGATTTATTTTGGTATTTCAACTAGCAAAAGACCATGTGAGCTATGGAGTGTGGAAAAGGCTGAGTTCCTAAGACTTACTACTGTATTACTGAAAACATAGTTGATATTTTCAGATCTAACCTATATTTTCCTTCCATCATTGTATATCAACCCTATTAGGGAAGCAAAAAACAAAATAAAAATAAAAAACAAAAAGTAACAGCTCTGTCTCTGCCATTTAGGGGAAAAAGAAAATACACGACACACACATTATGGATAAAACAACTCCAGACATGTAGACAATACGGTATTCACTTAAAATTATGCTCTGTGCTAACATGTAAAATAAGTTATTTCTTTTTCCAAAGATTTATCTTTACCAACCTGCCATGTAGAAAATGAGAGAAAAGGAGGCAGAGAATAAACGTGTGTGAGCACAAAAGCAAAGATAAGCCCAAAATATTCTGGATTTCTGTCAGACGGCTTCACACGCCTACACTTACATGGCCGTGGAGATCTGTGTTAAGAAGCATCATTGCACAGGTGAGGCAATGGACTCCATCTAAGGAAAGAGGCAAGGACAAGGGCAGAAAGCATTAATTCACTATTCCCTTTCGGACTCCTTATTATCATTAAAATAGCACACATTAGGAACTTATGAAAACATGATCCTGCGGCGAGGCATAATTAATCATATTCATTTGGGGAGACAGAAAATAGATAAGAATAAATTATTAAAAGCGCCTCAATGCACAGAGATAAAGTCTACTGGTGACAAAGTAAATTATTCCTACCTCTCTGAAGGACACTTTGACAGTACAGATCCTAAGCTTTGAAATAGTGTCCTTTGACACAGGAAATCTATTTCTAGGGCTTTACGCTAAAGAAATAAAGATCTACACAAAATATAAGGCTATCCAAAGAAACATTGCTTACAATGGGGAACAAGTAAATATGACCCTTCAAAAACAATTCTGCTATGTTGAAGTCATGAAAAATGTTGTCCAAGTATACATGTTGAAATGGAGAGATATTTCATAATAACTTATTATATGAAAAACAAATTATATGCACTATGATTCCATTTATTTATTTTTTTTTTTAAAGATTTTATTTATTCATTTTTTCCCCCCAAAGCCCCAGCAGATAGTTGTATGTCATAGGTTCACATCCTTCTAGTTGCTGTACGTGGGACTCGGCCTCGCGCTGGACGCAGAAGTGGTGCCTCGGGGCGCACCCGGGATCCAAACCCGGGCCGCCAGCATCAGAGCGCGCGCACTTAACCGCTAAGCCATGGAGCCGGCCCTATGATTCCATTTAAATATAAATGTACCCAAAAGAAAATATAATATTAAAAGAGATTATCATCTCCGGATATTGAGATTATAATTTTTATCTATTTATTTATATTTTCTCAATTTTCTATAACACAAGATATGGAAATGAAAATAAATTATTTAATACTGTTAATCTTTTTACTTTCCAAGAGGAAAGTGAATTAGAAAAAAAAGCAAAAGTTAAAGAAAACCAAGATTTGTGCCTTCTACTGTTTACTGGGTATTAGTTCTCTGGCTAAAAATATCTAGGCAGGAACAGTTATCCTCTTTCCTGGCATTTTTTAAAGGCAACATTTAGGGAGACCGGTTTAGGATACTATGGATCAGACAAAAACAAAATATTGAAATAATCTGTGAAGATTAAAAAATTAAATATTCAGGGGAAAAAAGTTGTCCAAACAAGAAGAATCATTTCACACTTATATGGAAACACCACTCTCTCTTCTTACTTTATAAAGGAAAAGAACAAGCATTAAGAATTAAGCTTCTCATTTCCAAACCTCAGAATTCATTCTCCTCCTCCTTCTCTCCCTGCAAGTCTCAATCCAAGTATAGCAGACAACAGCAGTTGCAGATGCAGAAAAATCTTATTCATTTACACTAAATGTACAGAAGGGCCTGTGCAATTGCTGAAGTCATGAATTAAAGACAGCTTATTTTTCAAAAGTATGCCTTTGAGTATAGTAGGTGATTTCTATTATTCATGTCTCTAAGCAGATGCTACTAAATGCCTATGTATATTTATTCCCATTCCAGTTTATCACAACTTCTAAATACATTTAAAACAAATTCCTGAAAGCATTTGTAAAACTCAGTAGCCAGCTCTCCAAATATCCTTATCAACAGCGAATTGAGTGCACAAATCCATATTCCTTGTTTCACTCAGAAATGTCAACAACTTCTTAGATTTGAAGAAAGTTCTAATAAGAACAACCCCCTTCTATCGCTTTCACTCTCTAGTTAATGCTGACAGTGTTAAGAGACGGTGACTAAATTGTCTAAATACAGTCAAAGAAGGCTTTGACAAGCTCCCATTTTACAGATAGGAATGTGACTTGAATAATCAGACAGTTAATTTAGCTACAGCCTGCAGGGCGGAGGCGGGGGAGCAATCACTTTAGTCAATAACAAGTATACTCATCCCAGTTAGTTGGCAATACTGAAGCTAAGAGATAATTACTATTTCTAGTACATCTGGTCTCAGCGGTTTATTCCAGAATTTGTAAGTTTATGTAAGAGTCTCCAATTGCAAGTGAATGTGCTTGACTTCAAAGCCTGAAAAATTTTGCTTTACTGCAGGAAATGAAATGGAGAAAAGACTTCTCTTCACAGGGTACATCAACAATTAAAAGTTGCTTCTTAACAAGTGGGACTTTATCAGATCAAAGAGCTTCTACAAGACAAATGAAACCAGAATCAAAATGAACAGACAACCCACTAGCTGGGAGAAAATATTTGCAAAACATATATCTGACAAGGGGTTAATCTCCATAATATATAAAGAACTCACACAACTGAACAACAAAAAAACAAACAACCCCATCAAAAAATGGGCAGAGGAAATGAACAGACACTTCTCCAAAGAAGATATACAGATGGCCAATAGGCACAGGAAAAGATGTTCAACATCACTAATCATCAGGGAAATGTAAATCAAAACAACACTAAGATATCACCTCATGCCCTTTAGAATGGCTATAATCACCAAGACAAAAAACAACAAATGTTGGAGAAGATGTGGAGAAACAGGAACTCTCATACACAGCTGGTGGGAATGCAAACTGGTGCAGCCTCTGTGGAAAATAGTATGGAGACTCCTCAAAGAATTAAAAATAGAAATACCCTATGATCCAGCTATCCCACTACTGGGAATCTATCCAATGAACCTGAAATCAACAATCCAAAGAGGCTTATGCACCCTATATTCACTGCAGCATTATTCACTACAGCGAAGAAGTGGAAACAACCCAAGTGTCCCTTGACTGACGACTGGATCAACAAGATGTGGTGTATATATACAATGGAATACTACTCAGCCATAAAAAAGACAAAATCATCCCATTTGCAATAACATGGATGGACCTGGAGGGTACTATGTTAAGTGAAATAAGCCAGAGAGAGAAAGACAAACACCATATGATCTCACTCATATGTGGAATATAAACCAACACATGGACAGAGAAAACTGTACTGTGGTTACCAGGGGCAATGGGGGTAGTGGGTGGGCACAAGGGGTGAAGGGAGACATGTATATGGTGATGGACAAACAAAAATGTACAACCAAAAATTTCACAATGTTATAAACTATTAAAACATCAATAAAAAAAAGAAAAAAAAGTTGCTTCTTAAGAATAGTACAATAAATATAAAGTCATAGTTCATTAAAATCATAAACCAAGTCAGTGGTCAGTCTTGTTATTACGAATATCAAACAAAATTGCCAGAGATACACCACAAACTCCAGTGAGATTTGTAAATGTTTCCGAAACTCACCACAAAACCAAGCATATGTGCACTTCATCAAGAATTTTAGAGATCAGACATATGGGAAGAAGAGATAAGAAAACTGGCATTTCATTTAGTATAATGTGCTTTGCACGTAAAATGTCAGAGTAACAAGGCATGAGCAATTTAAAGAAAGTATATTGTCATACTACAGAACTGAAAACTAGAGTAAAAATAACTAAAGGAAGAGTATCACGCTTTTAAAGAATATCTGATGACATGAGAAAATGCTTACAATGAAAGAGAAAGAGTAGGAAACACAACTGTGTAACAATTCTAATTTGACATTAAATGTCGTATAAACAGACTAGAAGGGAGCAAATCAAACTGTTAATAACAGTTATCTCTAGGTAATTCAAGATAGCTAGATGATTTTCATTTTCTTCTGCATAATTTTCCACAATAAAATGTAACTTTCATAATGAAGAAAATAATCCTTGTTAAAAATAAGAAATTCAAGCATTTCCATCAGATTACCTTGTGAAGCAATGGTATCTGGGTTACAATAAAAATATCTATTGGAGAAGTGTACTAAAACTCTCTCTCGTTCTTGAGTTTCTCCCACAAGAGAAAATGCTTTAAAGAAATACCTAAAAAAAGAATTAAGGGGAAAAAACGAAACTTCAGAAAATGTTACCATATTCTTTATGTTTAATAAAGTTAATTCATACAAACATAAGCAATTAATTATGCAAAGTAAGATATTCTACAGTGATTTCAAAAGAATCACTTAATGGCCATTCAATATAAACTGATGCTGACATTTAAATTCTATAAAGTGTCAACATAAAGGAGGACAGAGTGGCCAGCACATCCACAAAAGCCTTGGGGAGGCAGGCAATTCCCCATGAGACTGAGTGTCAAGTTGCCAACGTTAAAAGATCAGCCAGATAAAAACCAAAGAATGCTGAAGACTGAACACGTAACCACGTAGCCTCGGTTTTAAAACTCTACATGGACCACAATTTTTTCGTCGTTTTGTTACATGATTATTAATCACCACTGACCCACTGTTAAAATCACAATTATACTGTCTCGTGCACCGTATATTTCTGTTAATTTCATTCTGCCTATTATCATATTGTATTATTAATTTGTTACATGAGGAGGAAATTGGGAGATAAAAACTCTAATTTATTCCTTAAATTACGAATAAATTAATTTATTTGTAAAACTTCTTTGAACAATAGAAAATACGCCCAGAACCACACACCAATCTAAATCAGAGTCACCAAGAGTACTGTCTATTATAGATAAATCTAGATGACTCTCACTTGACAAAATAGATGCATTTCCCTACACGAGATGGGAAGAGTCATTTAAAATGTTCTAAGAAATCTTACTATTGAAAGAAACATACAATAAACCTTATTTCTCTGATGAAAATGCTGCTCTCTGCCTTATAGTTTGTTAATCTATATTATATTGGTCAAACTTTAATTTTTCATAACTTTTTTTTTTATAAACCACATCAAAGAAAGCAAAGCAGAAATACAGATCTTTTCTCCACTCTTCCCTGTTTTCATTGGAAAACCTACGAGTACCCTTGATTCACGTAAAGAGCCACAGAATAAGTCACTGTTGTGCACTCTAATCCAAACATCCTCCCTTCACCTCCCAGGCCTCAGTTTCCTGATTTGTAAAACTAGAGGGTTATGCAAGACAATCTCAGAAGTCCTCTAGGTCTGATGCTCTGTAAAGTTTGTGAGGTCAAATGCTGACTGGGTGTCACCCTCAACTGCTCTTAGAGGTGGTACAATGTGGTGTGAGAAGTGAGGGTCAGTGCGCTTAAGATCTTCACTGGAACAGACCAGCAAGAAGTGCTACCGCCTGAAAGAGGTTTACTGTGTACTGTCCGATACTTTCTGCTGATATTTATGCTGATATTCATTTTTAATCCCATTCATGAGTTACTTCCAAAGTATTGTCTTAAAGGCTATTTGGATATTGTAAACAAATGCTTAGGAAAAAATCTATAATTCTACAGTCTGTAGACGTGCCTTTTTTTATTGATCATTTGAAAACCAAATTCCCACAGATTCTATTTTTTCAAGACTTATTTTGCCACTATTCTTTACTGTCATCTACTAGATGCAGAATCATGTGTGATTTCATTAAAACAATATATTTTTCTCACTTTCAATTGTGTTTAACATCTATAGTACAACCTGAGCTAAGTTCACAAAGTAACTGCCAGCTTAAAAACATAAAATCAGATTTTAGCTTCAGCACATTACTTTCTCTTTTCAGAATTAATTATTTGGAGGCAAAGAAGAATGGAAGTGATGTTTAATCATACCTGAGTGACTGATCCAGCGTCATTCCTGTAAAATCAAAAAACTTCAGATATTCTTCAGCGACTAATTTGCTAAATTCATTGCTATAAGAAAACACAACAGACTCGGTTACTAAAATCTAAGCTATTAAAACACACACACAAGGGTACACTCAGACACCGGCCTTGGGACAGAACGTACTTTTTGCCCAGGTGCTTTGCAACATCCGATCTTTTGAATCTGTCTAGTTGATAAAGACGTTTGGCCAACCTTTTGGCTGCTTCTACATTGCTGCTGGTACCATTACTGAGACTTTCTGGGGTCTCCTTATCCAGAATTTCAGTGCTCCCCATTTCAGAATGAGCCTCCAGCAGTGTTTTTTTCACCCCAGCATTGCTGTGAGAATTGATGAGGAAAAAAAAGAAAAGATTTTTCTTGTGTGGCAAAAAGGGAAATAGCTGATGAAACTGTCATGATATCATAGAGCCAACTAAACGAAAACCATTTTAAATGAGACTGTTTTATGTTTATTCATAACAATATTTTCAGTTACTATATTTCAACATATTAAAGAATGTTGCTTAAATCCTAGATGAGCAGTTCTCAAGCCTTTTGGTCTCAGGACTTTTACATTTTGAAAAGAATGAATGACTCCGAAAACCTTTGTCTATGTGAGTTATATTACTATATCCATCTCATATCTATCATAGCTGTCTATATGATAGTCACCACATTAGTAATTAAAACAGAAAATTCTCTAATATTAACTCATTTAAAAATAATAAATCCATTTCATGAATATAATTAATACATTTTTATTAAAAATAACTATATTTTCCAAAACAACATAAAATTTAGTGAAATAAGTGACAGATTTACTTTTTTTTTTTTTTTACAAATTTCTTTAATGGTTGGCTTTCTAGAAGATAGCTTATCATAGCCACTTCTACATTCAATCTGTAACTATATATTATTTTGGTTGAGATATATTAAAAAAATCAGGCTTCATATAGGTATTTAATCAGAAAAATAATGAGTATTTTAATATTTTTTTCAGATAACTGTAGATATTCTTTTTTGATACGACACCAAAATAAGACAAGTGGCAGTTTCTTAAAGGTTAGTTGCAACATAGAATCTAAAATTGTATCAATGAATTTTTTGTGCTCTTACATTAAAATCTGTTTTAACACTTTGAATGGTTCTTTTACCCAGGCATGATCCTGCAACACGCATCGGTCATTTGCAAAATATTTGTTGACACATTTCATTTTACAATATCAAAAAAACCACATTCATTAATCTCACCACTAATATCTTCAGAAAAGTCTTTAAGTATTGGGAAGCTGTCAAACTTCTGGTGGCAGGTATGATTTCCAAAATTCTAACTTTTGATTGAAAGCTCAAATTTTATCATGGCAACAATATTTTCAGTTGTTTTCCTTAAAGTAATAGGCTCACTCTATTAATTTTCGAGAAAATGTTTGCCAATAACCATAATTAGTCATACTTTGAAGGAAAAAGGGTATTCCAAGAAAAATGCAACTAGTTTATAGCTCACAACTCAAATGACATATGAGTGCTTTTCCTAGAAACAACCCTCTGGACCGGCCCCGTGGCTTAGCGGTTAAGCGCACGCGCTCTACTACTGGCGGCCCGGGTTTGGATCCTGGGTACGCACCGACACACCACTGCACCGGTCACACTGAGGCTGCATCCCACATACAGCAACTAGAAGGATGTGCAACTATGACATACAACTATCTACTGGGGCTTTGGGGAGAAAAAGGAGGAGGATTGGCAATAGATGTTAGCTCAGAGCCGGTCTTCCTCAGAAAAAAAAAAAAAAAAAAAAAAGGAAAGAAAGAAATCAAAAAAAAAACCAACAAACAAACAACCCTCAGGAGCAGGAGTGCCTTATGCACATTTTCCATTTCATCACATGTGAAATTAAAAAGACATGTTCTCAAGGGTTGAAATGTAATTAATCTGTACTGCTTTATCAAGGACATGGTTAGGTGAAATCTGCCTTTGTTTTTATTTTGAGTGCATGGCAATGAAGAATATAACAATAACTAGAACAGTTTGGTACCACTACCTTGACATGAGCCAAGACCCCCACGATTGCTTTTGTACCATCAGTGTAAATATCAACGTGGTGAAAAAGGAAAATAATGCTGTGCAGTTATTATAAAATAACTTTGACCTCACAACCCTATAAAAAAGGTCTCAGGAAGCCCCACAGACCACACTGAGAACCTCTGGACTACAAAGGGGTCATAAACTCCAGCCTGTCGTTGGCTGTAGAATGCTACATCATGCATTTATAACACAAAACCAACGAGAACACAGTAATTTCCAAATCTTCATTTTAACTTGGTACGAAAACAAAGTTCATGATAAACTATTGTGCTTAGGTAGCCTTCCAACACACTTACCACAGACTCTAAACCAGACATAGCCAGAATTCTTCTATAACGGACCAGATAGTAAATATTTCAGACTTGCAGGCCACAGAAGGTCCCTGTCACACAAGCTTATTTTTATTGTTTTGTCACAATCTTTAAAAATGTAAAAGCCATTCCAGGCTAGGCTGAATGGGGTCCACAGGCATTGCTCTATCCCACAGTTCTTTAACTTGGCCTGAAGTAAAGTAACCATTTATTGTCTAAATCAGAATGCTCTGAAGAGGGAACAGAAATGATAAAATCATTAAAGATGTAATTCTAATTGTTACAAAGTATATAAAAAAATTACCAATAAAAAAAAACAGTTAGTTGTAAACTTATATAATAAATGACAAAAATCATCATAGCAAAAAAGAATACATTTTTAAGTAGAACTATTTAATCTCTATTTTGTCACTCATTCTACCCAACGTACAATTTCCCATTTCCTACTGATCCACCAACTCAGTGGTGGCCTGGCAGCTTCAGCATCACTCAATGCAGTTCAGGCTGCAACCTGCTGACACCCCAAGAGGCTCCTAGGGCCCGCAGAGTCCCAGACTTCCCCAGCACTGCCAGACTTGAGGGAGTTAACTGTCCCTAGCCACTCCTTTCCAAGCTCATTTTATCAGCAAGTCCTCCACATGCTGTCCTTGAAAGGGAGCAAGAAGAGGAGGGAAAAGACAGATTGATTATCGCAACTTGTCTTTTAGACTCAACTATGTGAAAATTCTGTTCAATGCATATGTCAACTGACACATTCCAAATGAGACAGCAGAGAAGCTGCAAGTACAAAGTGGAGGTTTACAATCCCCTGCTTATTTTACTGCAAAATGATAATGCTTCATTTCTTTTTTTTTTCCCTTTTTCTCCCTAAGGCCCCAGTAGATAGTTGTATGTCATAGCTGCACATCCTTCTAGTTGCTGTATGTGGGACGCGGCCTCAGCATGGCCGGACAAGCGGTGCATCGGTGCACACCCGGGATCCGAACCCGGGCCGCCAGTAGCGGAGCCTGCGCACTTAACCGCTAAGCCACGGGGCCGGGCCCGATAATGCTTCATTTTTTAAAGTCAAAGTCAAATGCTAAACCATATTCACTGCCAGAACAACAGAGATAAAATGCAACTAACCCAGGCAAACCAAGATGTTTGGCAACCCTCCTTCAATCAGCCACCTAAACAATTTTCCAACAGCAATACCCACTAGTTAAAATAAATTGCTTCATTATGATGAAATCTTCAGGCAAATACATTTAAATAATTTTTCATCCTAAATCTTCCTTTATAGAGTTCACATTACCAGCCAATTTTGTGAAATTTATCCTATCAGAAAACCGAATATTTAATTATTATGTACAGCAAACGTATAATAAGTAAACTCATAGAAGAAATTTCTTTTAAGGGCAACTCCCAGTTACTCTGTGTTTTTCCACCTAAGTGGTAGAAATGTAAAATACTTACCTCAAGAACTATTTTAGTTACAATCAACTCATTTTTACAATTGAAAAAGAAAAAATCCATGGAGTTCCCATGCATTCTTTTACTCTACATATTAGTTATCATGTAGGAAAAACAAATGTCAAAGAAAGGATTTTCTTCTCAATTCAACTACTACTTATTGTTCACTTCTCAGGGCAAATTCATGGTATATATTTCATCACTCCAGGTAAATAATGTAATTATACCACAACTATAGTACTGCAAAGATTTTCTTCAAATACAAGAGACTTATCCTAATGAGTATATATTTAAAAAAATGTAGTGGTCCAAATTATTCCTATTTCTCATGTTTCTCATTCCTCATGTCTGTCTCCTCTTTCTATCTTGCCCAGCCCAGTCTATTTCACCTCATTTTCCTTACATTCACCAGAAGGAGGTAATTTTAAAAACTGTATGTATCAGATTTCTCTGGATCTTCTTGAAAAAACCTTCAGTAAAAAAAGAAAATAAGGAATAAAATGAGGATAAATACCTCCATTCCTAGATGGCTTTGTACTGTCTCATTTCTCAATACATAAGATTACTTGAACAAGAACAGAGACTGCTCCTTTTAAGTCACAAAAGCCTGCAAATATGAATACAACACACACTCACCAGCAACCAGAGAGACACCAAGAAGAACTCATCCTGGAGCCCAGGGTGTGCCTGAGCCATACTTCCTCTCATGAGCCCCTCCCCAGGATTCCTCGCCCCACAACTCCAGTCTTGGCTGGTCTACTAGGGCTTCCAAGGACCTGGCTCCCTGTGAGGTCATGTTACTATGACGTCACATTCTCAGCAGAGTGTTTATTGTTGGGGTTTTTGTAATGTTTTTACAGCCCCAATAAAAACAGGAGCCAGAACACAGGGGCCACTGTACATCAAGAGCATAAACAACAATGGCAGCCCAGCCTTGTTCACACTTGATAAAGCAAACTGGATGATCCCTCTCAGTGGGGATAACACCCCATTTGTTTCCTGGAATACACAAGATATTGTCCATCTATTCTGTTGAATATTAGATGCTTTCAGTAGTTTGAATGTTCCCTTCTTTTCTTTAGTTCCCCTTTTTTCTTGATCAAGTAACTTTTACAATTTCATAGGTGAAATCCCTACCAGTCACTTAAATGTGGAAAAGACTTCCCAAAAGGTTCTCCCTGTGTTCTATAAATGCTGTACCTCATACCTACAAACAAATGTGGTAACACTCGATCATCAAAAGAAGGATCAGATCATTTGAGTCTGATCACCAGGCCTTTTCATAGCCTTTTTATCATACTAGGATTACCAGGTTTTCCAAATAAAAATAACAGGACACCCAGCTAAATTTGAATTTAAGATAAACAAATAACAGTGTTTAGTATAAGTATGTTCCAAATATTACATGGGACATACTTACACTAAAAAAATTATTCACTGTTTATCTGAAATTCAAATTTAACTAGGCATCCTATATTTTATCTGGTAACC